GATCGACGGATGACAGACTAGTAGGAAGTATTCGTTGTGTAGGGGTCCAATGGGTGGATATCCCATTATTAGAGAGTTAACCAGAGTTGACTAGAGTCAATCAACGATATATCACATTCTGAGCATCTGCTACAGTCCCACTTTTGCGCAGATAGCTTGCATAGGCCAATCCCACTGCTCTTATCAGCTGACTCTTTTTGATTTCCCTGTTTTTGACATAATCTTCTCTCTTAATCAAAAGACATACTAACCGTTGATTTCTCTCCTCTCCACTCACGTACCTCTCCAGATCTCAGGAACCAGAGCCCAGCCTCACATTTGCTGTCCTCCTCTCCATGATCATTTCGTTCCTTCTCCGCTGCCATGATTCCACCTGGGCCTTTCTCCATGCCGTTATCCTCAATATTCCTCCATCCCGACTGTATATCTTCCCTACCTTGGCTGGTACAGTCTGGTTCCTGACTCTGGCGTCCCTGCTTCTGACATGGTTGGCTCGTGGAATGCCCGTCTATCCGGGTCAAAGTAATCCACATGTCGCGTGGGTGTTTCTTCCATCTCAATTACACATTACAGTTTAGATGGTTATTGATCTCGAGGATAGCTTCATCTCCGACATTGCCTCCTTCGAACTAAAACCCCTCTTCCTCATAGGTGCTTCCATGACCGCCGTGGGGTTCGTTTTCACGGTAGCTGCTGTGCACGTCATGCGCTACGAGCCCGGTTTCGCCTTAGTTAAATGTCCAGTTATCTCCGAAGACACTGCCAACAATGATCAGGAATCCAATGCGTCCTACAACAGAACTAGCGAGAACAATCACCGAAATACCCAGAATCACATAACCGGACATGGACATGATGAGGAAGAGGAAGAAGGGGAAGAAGAAGACCAAGAAACAACCCGCACCCTCAAAGTCATATCGTTACTATCAATCCTCGCAGCCGGAACGGCCAGTACAGCGCTCATCCTCCTCGGAGTTATGGATACATTCCGCTACAAATTCGCCCATCATATCTTCCTTCGCATCTGCTTCGGATGCTTGGCGATACAGTCAGCCGGTACCGCGATTGTCTATTCAACTGAGGTCCTGAGTTTCGTGTCGTATTTATACCACTGGGGGGTATGGGGCAATGATTGGGGAAGAAAGAGGAGTACACGAGTTAGGATATTGTATGTGCACATTCCCTCTATTAAATCACCTTACAACCTTCTAAACATTGTTGGAAAACGGACAGTGCATCCCTCTCCACCATCCTCATCTTAATACAGCTCTTCCTCGGCGTGGCCTTCATCTCTCTCACCATTCCCGAAGACGTAAACGATTACAGAACAGCTGGTATCCTCGAGTGGATCATTGCATTCCTAGGGACGATCTATCTATGGCTCTTCTGTGGGTTCTTTGATCGGTACGCTCACGCCTCCTTGCACAAGTCTATGAGCATCTTATCATCATTCCTTCATTGTGATGATTGCTGACCGCAGGCAGAACCACCTTCGAAGGCTACGTCCCCAGCATTTTATACAATACAGCCCCGCATGGCAAATTCCTCGACCGTCCCGCAGTAGCAGGGGTAGGAGTAGCTGAAGCTGAAGCTGAAGCCGAGTCTTCGTACAGCGCTGCTGGTAATACCCTGGATGTGGATCCTGAGCGGGCGCCGTTGCTTCCTCAGTCTCAAGCTCAGGGTGGGTTTGGGACGAGGTATACGTAGTGATGTTTATGACGGTTATGTTTAGATATGATATACCATTGTGTGATGCTCATGTAAGACGTGGCGTTGGGTTGGTTGTGTCTACTACTATGTATATATCTTCCCTGTTCAACTATATATACAACTTTCATCAATGTACGACTTGTAACTAACTGACAAACGGTGGAATAGAGCCTATAATCATGCATAAAGCAATATACCGACTGAGACGTACCATATAAACGCAAGATTCACTTTTCATTCTAGAAATACTCGCTCGTGTCGCCGTGACGAAAATCCATCTAATCAGATAATAACATGCTAAAGATACGTACATTGGCGATACACCACCACCCGTATTTACCTCAAGTAAAGGGGGTGTGCCGACAGTCTCATACATTCTATGCACTTTACACAGTTGTGGTTGTGGCTGGTTACATTCTGGCGCCACATATCGCCTCAAGAATTGAAAGAAAGGGAATCGTCTCACAGAGTCTGACCACCTTGGTTAACGAGTTGCCACATGTTGGCCTTGTTGAGGAATGCAGTCGAGTTCAGCCCGGGAAGGGGCTCCATGACCGGGGGTTCACGGTTTCGGAGCTTCTCCATGGTAGAGTTGTACTGGATTTGGGGTTAGTTTGGACTGTTCAATAAAGAGATGAGGGTGCGATATAAGCCTACCTTAAAGGCAAAGTTCAATACCAAGGCAACGGCCAACCCCACGCAGACCACTATCGGGCCAAACATGTTGTCCAGATCCTTTCCGCTCCGCTGACGGATGAGACGGGCCCGCTTCTCGTGCATGTACCATCCCCAGGCGGCAGCGAAGATGGCGAAGCAGGTGTAGACAATGGACAGAGCGCGAGCAATGTCGTTGTGTTTGCCCGCCGCGTTGTACAAACCCAGAGATAGCGAAGAAAGTAGGATGCTAATGTGGAGCCACTTGATAAAGGTACGCTGGTTGGCGAGCCAGACCTTGGTCTCGACACGGACCGGGCCCGAGTCCTTGATCCAGGTGCCGGGCTCCCGGACACCAGGGGGCAGAACAACGTTGTCTGCCGGTGCGCGATTTTGACGGGAGATGGTAAAGGAGGGGAAGAGAGAGGCCAGGCGCTTCATGGTGACTGGCTGTTCCGCCTCTGCGGCGAACTCTTGGGCGGGCTCCTGACGTTCAGGGGTCGGTTGTGACATTGTCGGGGCAGATGGACGAGGAATCGGCTGTACAATCTGGGAGGATTGGCGGCGACGTGACGGCCCTGTCTCGGTGAACATCTGGACAGGGGACCCGACAATGTGCCGAGTTGACGGTGTCTTGCCTCCCAGGAAGCTTCCGACAGCCATATCGTCTTCGGCACGCTTCGCCAGTCGCTCCTGTTCTTCGTGGAAAGCCGTCTCAGGGTCCCGCCTGATGTCGCTTTCCAACTCGCCGAGCCAGAAGGGGAAGCTGTTGACATAGTCTTCGAACAATTGGGCAACGCCATGGACGAATTTGGAGAACCGTGGGGCTTCCTTCACGAGATGAGACACCATCAGGTCCTTGACCCATTCAGCGCTACGAGCCACATCCCCTCTGATTTTAATCTCCAGCAAGCCATGAGGGAAACGAGCAATTTCGCCGGTTCTGATGGACTGGAAGGGATATTCCATGCCAGCATCGTCAATATCCCTCCGGTGCCATTCATCTGCGTCACGGCACGGGCGCAGCTCGTCCAGCGCGTCTTCCCGGATGAGTGCCAGGTTGGTATCGAGGGAAATACGGATTCGATCATCTCCAGGAATCTGGAAGGCCGTGCGGGTGTAGTTGGCGCGGAGCATGGGCTGCAGGTTGTGCTCCTTGATGAAGGATTGGAGCTCATCGACATCCTTCTTGAAAGCCTCCGCTTGCTCGGACTCTCCATTGCCCATGTTTTCCATGCGATGCACCTTCTTGTCGAAACGGTACTCTCCGTCCAGGAATTCCTTGACGTGCTTCTGCTTGAGCTGCACCTTGACCTCTCGGCTGCGATCATCATCTGTGACCACCTTCTTCTCCAGGAAGATGGCGGGCTTATCCCGTAGGTTGCCGGTCCAGCGCAGCCGCAGCGAGCCCGCTTCAGGGGCACGGGCTACCTTCTGAGTGTAAAGATCGAATTGCGGGTTGTCGAAGTAGAGGGAGGTAATCGTGGGGTCATCGGGAACGGTGTTGAGATCCCTGGAGGTGCCAGGGTTGTAGATAAGGACGGGCAGTTGTCGGAGGATGTAGGTCTTCACCTCCAGAATGTTGTCTGCATGAACCCAAAACTTGAACGAGGAGTAGACATCCTGACCGACACGAGGCTCGGCGGGGTCCTTGGCCTCGATTATACCTTGGCTGAGGATCTCACGGGCGAAGGAGTACATCACGGACAACCGACGCACCAAAGGGGAGTAGTCTTCCGAGTTGAAGGGGAGTTGCGAGAGACGCACTTGGAGCAGAGGCTTGACACGGTAGCGAGTACCACGCTTACGATCATGCTTCTTTGCAGCTTTGAGGAAGCCGGTGAAGTTGATGCGACTGTACTTCTCGAGCTCTATTACCTCCTTTGTGATATTGTCCAATTCCTGCAGGACATCGGAAGCGACACGCTTCTTCTCCTCTTCATCCACCACGGTAGGGGCCCCGTCCTCGGGCGAGGTCGTCAACGGGCGCAAGCGGGCTTCGCAGGTAGTGGTACGCTCTCGCAACTGCTGGAGGGTTTCCATCTGAAAAGCATTGACCTTATCGAGCTGGACGTTAATGAGCTCTTGCACGAAGGCTTCTTCATCCTGCTCGGTCCATGGGTTGCTTTCAGAGTCACTGCCATCACCAGTGACATCATGCTCTCGGAGCAAGACCTTGAGCTTATTGTAGTCGATGTATTTGCCCGCCCAGGGGGCATATATAGAGTTGCGAAGAGTCTTGCCGAAACGCATGACTGTGATGGGCAAGTACGCACGCGACAGTTCAGAAGATCGGAGGCGGGGAAGAGAGAGAGATGGATTCCGGGAGAGACTAGAGATGTAAGGAATGCCGTCCTAGCGGAGACGATTCCGGGAACCACTGAGGGCGATCGATGCAAGGGGGGAAAGCAATTAGCTATATGCACCGTTTTTTCTTCTTTTTTTTTCTGGTATTGGGGTAGATGAGAAAGTTTTCAGGAAGGAAGAGAAGAAAGAAAAAAGGAAATGAAGAAAGTGGCGAGGGTTTCAAGCAGCAACAGCATCATGACTAGTAAAGAGTACTAGATAGCAACTACTTTAGCAGCTTCCAGCCAGAAGGACTGCCATCGCCGTATCCTCGCACGTGCTCCCGTCATTCCTGTCCCATGACACTCTGATTGGCTAATTGAGTTCGAGCTATCCCCGGCCAGTTGGAAGCTAGTATCAACTTGATCTTGTGGTATCAGTAATACCAGTACCATACTAAGCCTCGGCTCCATCGCTAATCTCCGGCCTTGGTCTTTGGCCTGCTGATAGTGATGTTATTCGCATCCCGCCGTCTGTTTGTCTGTCTGTCCGTCTTTCGCTGCACTTCATAGGTTCAACTATAGGCATTCCGTGCCTGACAACAACCTTCCCTAAGCACCTGACACTGATGCTTTTGGTAAAAGGTTCCACCTTCGATACCAATGTCCTCCTCGTTGGCCCCGTCGCTTCATGACGTCCTGTCAGACTTGCACCACCGTCCATATCCCCATGTCCCCAATCCGCCCTCGTGTAAGAAACGTGCCTCCGTCGCTTTGATCCTCCGTGTCCGTCCCACATACCACCACTGGCCCAATTCCTCGTCTCTCTCTGCTTCAGATGTTTCCGCCTCCGTTCCGCAACGACTGGAGACGTTCTTCGCACAGGACTGGGTCCAGAATGGAGAACCGGAAGCTCTCTTTATCAAACGAGCATCGCGCGTAGGCGATCGCTGGACTGGCCATGTCGCCCTGCCAGGAGGAAAACGGGACCCAGAAGATGTCGACGATAAAGCTGCCGCAATTCGAGAAGCCGTGGAAGAGATCGGACTGGACTTGACAACGAGTGAATGTATCCATGTGGGAAATTTACCAGAGAGAGTAGTGACTTCAAGTTGGGGAACAGTACCGTGCGTGTCTTCCCACGTCTCCTTTTCGTCGCTCATAGAAAGCATACCACTGACTATATTCCTTCTAGTTTAATGGTTCTCTGTCCTTATGTCTTCTTGTTAACGTCCAGTGATTCGCCCACCCTCCGATTACAGCCTACGGAAGTCGCTTCGACCCATTGGGTACCCCTCAGAGCCCTGCTCTCCTCATCCCTGAGAACGGTGGAACATGTGGACATGACTCAGCGGTTGGCGAATATGGGCGGGCTTCTGGCCCGCCTTGCATATCGCTCGATGATGGGCTACATGCAGTTTTCTGCCATCCGGCTGGCTCCAACTGAAAGCCTACAGTGCAACTCAACTCCGGGCTATATTCCAGAAGGCAACCAGCCGTCCACCTCTCTCGTTCAGCGCTGGAAATCCTGGTGTTTGGGCAGTCAGACACACTCCGGCCACCAAGACCAGCCACTCCTTCTCTGGGGTCTGACACTGGGTATTATGGCTGATTTCCTAGATATGCTTCCACCTCACACCGCTGTACAGTTATGGAAATATCCAAATTTCACAGCAATAGACTTGCGATTCATTATAAACGTTCTGACATATCGTCTGCGCAAGCACAACCGCAGTCAGGTCCGGTCAGGTGCCCGACCCAGCAACACGGCGGTGGATAGCCAAACCGCTGCCCTGCCGGTCACGAAGACCGCAGCGACCAATGCGGATGCGGAACACAATCAAGTCGGCATTGGAGGGCTTGGAGTAGGTAGGTATTTCGGATCATCTGATACAGACCCTACCGGCCATGCATATGCAGTGGGAATCATGCTCCGGGGCTACTATGAACGAGTGCGGATTGCCATCTACATCATCGTGGCCTGGAGGATCGCACTGGGCTCTACAGCCGCCATCTATGCATGGAAGCTGCTCCGCCGGCTAAAGTAGATATCAAATATGTCTATACCTGAAATCTTATATAACCTGTGTGGATAACAATGTTAATGATGACACGCCTTCTCTTCCCATTTTATAAGTCCATCGTGTCAAGACAGGGCCCATCATGCGGCGAATACTGCCCAGCTCTCGATTAGATAAGGAAGTTGATAGGAATACCGCGTATGGTACTGTTTGGTTAGGGACCGGGGTAAATTACACGGACAGGGCAAGCGGTAAGGAAAAAGCAGCTAAGTTTGAGAGCTCGAGTCGAGATCAACTTCTAGTGGTAAACTTAGTAGTCATGGTTATTGTTCCCATTATCCATCCCTCCTTCCGCCGCCCGTCGTGATCCACTTCACTTACCCTCAGCACCACCGCCTCACCTGTTAACCTCGGTGCTGCTGCCCTTTGCGCCAGGAGCTATCATGGCAGCTACACAGAAGCTATACCCCCGCGCGACCGTCAAACGCGTCGTCAAGGCACACTCCAACCGCAACGTGAGCAAGAATGCCGATATTCTGGTAAGCTGCAACCCTGATCCCCTTGATTGATACTATCATTGTCTGCTCAGAAACTGACATACTCGTCTTTACTGTATAGATCTTCCTGGATTACATGCTGTTCATGCAAGAGTGAGTCGACGTCATTGTTTACTGTTTATAATTACCTGGCATCTTGAAGCTGGTTGCTGACGTCTGCTTGTATTTGCAGACTGATGCGGGAATCCTCAATTCAATCGCGCAAAGCGGGCGAGAAGAACATCTCTCCCAACAGCGTTCGAAAGGTGACTGAGGTATGTTTGCTTTGTTGCATTTCAAGAATAGCCTGTTATAATCTAGGCTGACCATGAGTTTCCACCGGTTTAGAGAACCCTTCGGAAGTTTAAAGGATAAGCTTGTGCACCGTGTGCGGTTCGGCGTCCTTCCCCGGGCTCCTGGAGAGCATGTATGATGTCGCGATGGCCTTGTAGTAATGGCGGGCCTATACTATAACCAGATGGCGTTGAATTTGGGGAAGGAGGATTATCGTAGGGGGGTTTTTTTTTTTGCTCTGGGTTTATTTTCATTTGCTTGCCATGCCTATCCTACGGGGCAATTGGCTGATGGAACTTGGTCAGACAATGATGGGAGCTTTGCGCGGCGTCGACTAGGAGTTGTTTGTGATGATACCCAACGATCATGGTGATCTAAAGCAGCAGGGATTCCCCCTTGTCGAAATCGAACCTGTAATGCGTCCGAGGCACTCCTCCAACCACATTTTCTTTTGTAGACCATTGAGTTCACAATAAGCTGCGCGACCGTCCGAGCGTCGACTTGGGGGCAAAAGTTGTTGGGCTGGCGGCGAACAGCACGCGACAAAGCAAAGGCGGCGCTGCGGTTCGGACGCCTTCCACCCGCATCTTCGTCTTCTCTCGCTGTCTCGCTCTCTCACTTCTGCCGCCTTGGCTTCCTTTCCTCTTTCTCTCTCTCTCTTCTCTCTTCCTCTCTTCTCCAGTCACTTTCTCCAATCTACGCAAATACCCTTCTCCTTCTTCTCCTTTCTCTTCAATCCCTACATTATCCTTTTTTCTTTTTCCTACTCTCCCCCTTTTATACCAAACAACTAGGCTCCCCTCTTAGCGTCTACCACCTCACACACCAGCAACAATGGCCGCCGCAGCTGTCAACACCAACCCCCCACAGTCCGAGACCTCGTCAGAGAAGCACAAGCCGAACCATGCTTCTAGCCCTTCGATCGCTTCCAAGGCAGAGGTGAACGGTTCCGATAGCCAAGAGCATCAACACTTCAAAGAACTTCAAAAGTGAGTCATCCGAGAAGTCAGCCTCGGCGCTTCCCACCTCTTGACCGGGCAAAAGAGACCATATTGGATAGGATGCTGACCAGAGCTCTATAGGAGTCTGCGCAATGCTATGAAGAAGCTGGTTCGTTCACTCGACTCAATTTTAGGTTCCTGTACACCGCTCACATTTTCCCCATCCAGAATGCGACCGCTAAGGTTGACGCCATCATCGCCGAAAACCCTGGAAAGTCATTGGACGAGCTTGTCGCGGAGAAGAAGATCAATGTCGATCAGAAGGCTCAGGCCCTGAAGAAGCCTTCCCTTCAGGCCGCTGTTGCTCAGATCGAGGAACAGATCGCCCAGTTCAAGAGCTTCGCTGCCTACTACGAGGAACGGTTGGTCAGCCAGAAGGCTGAGTTGGAGAAGGCTCACAAGGAGCAGCTTGAGGCTGTTCAGAAGCAGGCCACTGAAGCTGCTAGCGGTGTCAGAGAGACGGAGCTCAGACAGAAGCTGCTTAACTTGAGCAAGTTCCTCTGTGCAGCTGCGCGGGTTCGAAACTCTGGAGATGAGACTTCAAATGAGAGCCGTGCCTTTGAGGGTGTCCTTTACCAGATCTACGGCGGTACTCAGGATGCTGTCTCTTCCATGCTGAAGATCATCGATGGTGTGGATGAGAAGGTGGTTGGCGTTGACAGCACTCTTCTGGATGTCACCTGTGAGCACTGCCGTCATCCCATGTAATTTGTCATGCCTGTTGCTAACAGTTCTCTGTTGCTTAGACGGAAGAGTAAAGCAGGCCGCTGCTGAGCTTGCTGGACCAACTGACGAGACCACCACCGCCACCACCGAGGCCGCTCCTCAGTCGGACCCTACTATTGCCAACGCCGGTTACACCGAGCTTCAGGATTCTTCTTACAACACCGATGCTACTGCTACTGTCACTACCGAGTCCGCTACTGCCGCTGAGCCTGAGGCTGAACAGGTCCAGCCGCCTGCTCAGACTCTTGTCGGCGAGGGTGCTAACGCAGTCGCGGAAGCCAACTGGGATGCCAATGCTTCTGGTGTCTCCTCGGCCAACACCGAAGGCTGGGTTGAAGTCCCCCGGGACCCCGCCGAGACCGATACTGGACTGGAGGCCACACCTGCAGCGGCGCAAGCGGAGGTGAAGGGCAGCGCGACTGCCGAGCATGGCTCGGAGAATGTTACTGTGCCGAAGGACGGCTTTGAACAGGTACACCACCACCAGAGACAGCCTAGTGTTCGCGGACGTGGTCGTGGCGGACATGGCCGCGGACGGGGTGATGGCTTCCGGGGACGCGGACGCGGCGAGTTCCGTGGCCACGGTCGTGGCCGCGGTCGCGGTGGTCGGGGCCGTGGCGGAGCTAACGCCAATGGCAACGGCGCTCCCAGTGCCGCTCCCGCTGGAAACCAGTAAGTCGGTGCAGCTGGGAATAGGGTCAATCCGTCGTTTGGCTTGGAGGTTGTGCTCCTCTGTGAGAAGTAGTACTCCTCAAGGTCGGCGCGGTCCCGACGCGGGCACCTTGCCTCATGCATGGCACTGGGCCTTGTCCATGCTACATCTTTACATCTTCCCCGTTTTTATTCTTGCAGCCGTCGGGGCGTTGTGCTTTCCTTTGTCTATCCTCTCTCATACTAATAAACTCATGGGTAATGGCGGTGTCATGGTTGACGAAAGCAATGACTCTTGAAATGATTACAACACGGAGCTATGAGGGCGACACGCTGCCGATGAATCAGTCATGCGGTAGCATTGCTCGACGTTTCTTTTGGATTCTATTCCCCAAGGTTCCGGTTGTATATGTTTGCAGTTATTGAGCGTGCATAATGTTGCTCTTTGATATCTTTTCCTTTTCCTTGTCTTTCGAGCTGTGATGACCGCTTCCACGGGGCCATTGCATTCGGGGATGGTGGCGGCAATGCTCGTCATATTGGCCATCTACTATTCTTTTCCTGTATTTTATTCATTTGCATCTTATGTTGACATGGAGGGCGCAGGCCAGGGCGGTTCGCAGCGGAGGAGCAGGGGAGACAGTCTGGCTGTTGACGGCCGGGACAGAGTTGCTAGGAATCCAAGGTCAAAGTGCAGCTTGATGGCAATGGAAGCCAGCGGCGCACTTACTTTTCCTCACCACCTCGGGACCAATCCAGTATACCTACCATTGTAGATGCAATAGATGCAAAAGATGCAATCAAGATCATAGAGCGATGAAACCGATCACTTGGATTGTCCCGAAAAGGCAGCCAAGACCGAGTCCCGCATCTGATAGGGCTCAGGGCTATGACATAATTGGCAGGTGCCTCGGGGGAGGAGAAGATGCCATCGTGTTGTTGTTCTTGTTGTTGTACTTCGACTTTCCGTTCTTATGCTGCTGAACGCTGCTATCCTTCGTTCCTTTTCTGTTCCTCATGCTTAATTAGATCTCTTTTCGTTCGCTCTCTTATTCCGGGCCTTTTCTTTCCTACTCGTCTTGACCTCCTAGTGTCCCCCTGTACCTCGCCATCTCACCACCATGGCGGTTGCCGCAGACCAGCGGAAGAAGATCCTCAAGGTCTTGATGACCTCGTTGCTCTTGGATTTGGTATGTGTTGCTGCTATTACCCGCCTTCTCTCCATATAGCTCTCTAATAGCCGATCTAGATATCCTTCACGTTCATTCTACCCCTCTTTCCATCCCTCCTCACTTTCTACCGCAACCAAGACCCCTCTCCGAACTCGCTGCTGAACCGCGTCTTCCACTATCTCAATGCCTACAAGAACTCTTTCGCAAAGCCCATCGACTCGCGCTATGATATTGTTCTCCTTGGTGGCGCTCTCGGATCTCTCTTCTCCCTTCTGCAGGCTCTAGCCGCTCCCTTTATCGGTCGTCTCTCCGACCAGCGCGGCCGCAAGACCGCCCTCCTATACTCCATGGTTGGCAACACTCTCAGCGTCGCTCTCTGGGTCGCTGCCACGGATTTCCGCACCTTCCTGGCCAGTCGCATTGTCGGCGGTCTCAGTGAAGGAAACGTGCAGCTGGCCAACGCCATTGCAACCGACATCAGTGACCCCAGCCAGCGTGGTTCGACCATGGCTCTGGTGGGCGCCTGCTTTAGCATCGCCTTCACCTGCGGACCCGCCCTAGGAGCATTCCTCTCGAACATCACCACCGTGGCAGCGAATCCCTTCGCGACCGCAGCCGGTGTCTCCCTTCTACTCATTGTCGTCGAAACCGCATACATCTACTTCTGTCTGCCAGAAACCCACCCTCGTTTCACCAAGCTCACTCATACCTCCTCAACTACCACGTCCGCCTCGAAGCCCTCCACCTCCGCCTCCACCTCCACCCCCAAGCACAAACAACACACCAACAACCCCGCCATCCTCAACGCAATCCATTTCCTTTTCCTCCTCCCCTTCTCCGGCCTCGAATTCTCCCTCCCCTTCCTGACCGCCACCTTCTACGCCGGCAGCCAAGCCAGCCCGTCCGCCCTAAACGGCCGTCTTCTCTCCATGATGGGTCTCATCGCCTCCCTCCTCCAAGGCACCGTCGTGCGCCGTCTCCCCCCGCTCGTGACTGTCCGCGCCGGCGTCCTCGCCTGCACCGTATCCTTCTTCATGCTGGCGCGCGTCTCCTCCCTCTCCGGCCTCTACGCCGCTGGCAGCCTCCTCGCCATCACCAGTGCCACGGTCGTCACGGGCCTCAACAGCCTGGGTAGCTTCGAGGCACAGGAGTCAGACCGCGGTGCGGTCTTGGGTAGACTCCGTAGCTGGGGCCAGGTCGGACGCGCGGCGGGACCGTTGCTCTTCTGCTCGTTGTTTTGGTGGGTTGGGCGCGAAATCGCCTACACTACGGGTGGGATTGCGATGGTTACAGTTTGCGTGGCTGTGTTTACGTGCCTGAAGTCGCCAAATATCCCTGCAAAGGCGTAGTTGGTTCTCAGATGATACCTGTTGGATTGTTTGAAAGATTCTGTGACGATAAAAGATAGATTTATAGAGTGAAATTTTCTGTTGAGTGTATGTTGTTGATCTTGGTGGTTTTATGAACTTGACCTGATATGCATTACATCATGTAGGAGGATATCTACACTATCATATTTATCTACTGGATGGCTGGCTGGCTGGATCAGCGGTCAGCGGGTAGCGAAATGTACATTTAAATTACATGAAATAGAACAGTAACATTCAAAATTGGTCATTACTGGGTATAATATACATTGGAGAGGAGTGAGGAGTGAGAAAAATACATGGAAGGAGTGGAAAAGACAAGAGAGAATAAATATGAGCATCTAGAACTCTCCTCGAAAACATCGCCGTCAACTGATCAAACAAGCAAATCAGATAGCCAGCCACCGTAAAGAAACAAAACCAGAGTGGTCAAGCAACCTTGAGATCGGATCATTTCTCTCCAGACCATACCGCCCTGCAAAGGCCTCTATACATTGATCCCTTTGATATTGAGAGTAGACCGGAAAGAAAAGGATAAAGAGTGGAGGATTGAACAGTAAATGAGCACCAATACGGTCATGGATCCATATCAGCAAGATCTTATCGGTAAAGGAAAAGCGAGGCCTGAGGGCCTACGACCGCAGACCATGAGGATAATATTGTTGTTCATGATGTTCGTGATGGTACCGATCCCTATCAAGAAACCCCTGTCCATCCTGCCAATGACACCCCTGCATCGCTAGTCCCGGCTCTGCAACAGGGTCAAGCGATCCTCGTGCCTTCCCAATCAACCAGTCAGTCAGGGTCACGAACTTAGGCGTGCGATTCCATCCGCGCGCATCATCCGCATGCTCGATCGTATGCGACGCAATGCGACCTTCCTCGTCGAAGGAGAATATGAATAGTCCCGTAAATTGCTCTTCCTTCTTCAACTTGAAGATCGGAGCGTCCCCACCCAGCAGGACGCTTAGACCTTTGTTGATTCCCGTTTTCGAGGATGACAAGTGACTGCCATTATTGTTGTTGGTGCCTTGGGTATCAGTAGGTAGAGTAGGAGATGCGGCGGTGAACGCTGTACTGGAACCTTCTGGGTCGGAGGAGGTAGTGGATTCGTTCCGCGGTTCCGTTCGCCAGCGCACGACGAGACGCTCGTCGCTGGTATCGTGGTCGCTGTCAGGCCGTTCGGGTTCGAGGACCGTTCCTGCGCGGACGATACGCTCACTGAGAATTTGGAGCTTCACGTTCCCTAGTAGGGGGAGACTGCTCCATGCTACTGGGACGGTCCAGAGCGCGGCGCGATACAATGTTCGGCCCTTGACAGTGGGGAGATGCGGGTGTGTCGAGGGGAATAGGTGCAAGGCTATGCTGGGGGAGAGTATGTTCGGGGGTAGCGGGTTGATGAGAAGGGTGGGGAGGAGAGGCGAGAGGATGCGGAGAGCTGTGGGAGGTTCGTTCGGTCAGCATCGGACACATACTGTAGGATTGCCTGTTGATTTGGGGAGCACCCACTCTTTCCAAGCTTCAAGATGCGCTCGTCAGGAGGCTCATGATCTCGATTCGAACCCCCGTCAAGAGGATCCGATACAGACGGTCGGAAACCAGTTTGCGAGAAGAGTGTCGGTGACTCGCGGGTCAACTGCGGACCATGTATAATGTCAGGTCGCGGCTGGGCCAGGGTCCGCGGAGAAGGGGAAACGAAGTATTGTTCCCGGGAAACAGGCGGTTTTATCGGAGAGGGTGTTGTAGGAGGTAGTAGACGACGTCGGAGAGCGCGTGGCGCAGGGCCAGAGACCAGCTTCGGCGGCATTCCCGGAGGTTCACCCAGGAAGTTTGTGTTGAGAGCAGATCAATGCATGCCTTGCGAGGTGGCAGCGGAGGGGTGGGGTCAAGTCATAAGCTGGCAGATGCATGAGACAGCAAGTGCAGAGGGAAGATGGAGTGAGGATGGAACGTGGTCGAAGAAGCAATGGAACTGACATCGAAATGCAAATGAAGTTCAATCGAAAAGTAAGCGGGAGATGACGTCGGCCCGCTCCGTTGCAGCCTGAGGCAACACAAGAATATAGATTTGCAGAAGATGAAAGATCAAGAATGCAGAAACTCCGTGCATTTGGTATCTATTTACAACCGTAACATATGATTATTTCCTGTCTCATGCCAGTTCATCGTCATCATCTGCCCCCATGTACCGCCTCTCCGCCAGATCGCGGATCTTGTCCTCCAGCACGCCTCGTCCATAACGCTGCGCAACCTTAACAGCAGCCTCCACCATCTTGCCATTGCGGTCGCGCATCATCTGCACCAGCTCCAGAGCCTTCATGCCGCGCTCTTCACCCTCGCGGCATTCCACTGCCAGTAGCTGCAGCAGAAACTTGTCCACTTCCAGCTCCTTTCGCGCCAACTCTGCTCGCTGGCCGGTAGTGGCGTTGGTGGATCCCAGGAGGTCCTCGAAGAGTGACAGCATGATGTTGCTCCGAACAAACGCTTCCTCGAGTCGTGCCCCTTCACCGCGTGTGTTGCCTTCTTCCTCTTCCTCATCCGGTCCTTTTCCAGGCGTGTCGGTGATGGGGACGCGGAAGTCGAACTCACTCAATAAAGGCCTGGGGAAGTACGGATATCTATCCCCTCCCTTGAGAATGATGCAGTGGAACTTGTCTTGAGCCACAGCAACGGGCCAGTATGTCTCCTCCTTGCGACCACTCGCAAGACGCTCGAGCTGTCTCGTATCCAGTAGCGGGACCCAGCGAGCCTGCCCGTTTGTGCGCCAGTGTTGCAGAACGAGTAGAACGCCCTCGGAGTCGTAGATACACGGGTCCTATTAGACAGTTGTTAGCAGATTGAACCTGATAGACCTGCCTAGGCTTCACTCACTCCTGCGTCGGAGAAGAAGACACTCCGCAGCTCGGCACCCTCCGGGATGGCGACCACATCCTCATTCTGGCACACTTCATCCCGCTTGACATTCTCCACAGTGTACCGCAGCGTGGCCGTGCGACCATCGCTTCCCAGCGGGCCATTGCCCACCGTCATGATATAGTCTCTCCAGGCGGCGCAAGTAACCGCCGGGCTCTTTTGTCTGTACACTTTGAACGGTGTGCCGAATAGCGTATATACACGGACATAGTCCTTGGTCGTCACTGCGACAATGTATGAATCACTGAGCGCCAGCGCTGCCAGTCGATTAGCACCCACAAACCTCCTAGATTTTGGTTGGCAATGCGCTCACCTCGAATGAACTCTCCCTTCGGCAGCTGTGTCCGCCAGTCCGCACGCGTTGTCCACGTCTCGTGCGGGCGATAAAAGATCGTGGCAGGGCTGCCGTCCGTAGGGTTGTTGGAGAATAACGTTCCGTGCTCATCTGGACATCGTTAGCTACACTGTTGATCTGGTCTTGAGACCCATTGAACCTACTGAGACACGCCCGGTCGTACAGATAGGGATCAGTGAAATGGAAATCGCGGTGAAGTTCCCGGTCGTAAAACTCCACTGTCACTGTGTTGTGCGTTTCTTGATCAACCGTCCAGACACAGCCGGTCAAGTTCAAACCTAGTCCAGTCAGCACACTTGGCATCAGCACCACTCAAGCTGCTTGGGCACACATACACAAATACCGTCGGTTGCCCCTCCAAGGTGTACTTCCCGGCTGAAGCGGAGGATGCACCTTAGGTTTTGCAAACGAGGTTAATAGCCGCTTGTCCGGACGGCCATCCGCATCATCTAAATGCGAGCCCGCACGCTTGCCCCGTGCGAGATCCTCGGCATACCCAGCTCCATCATCATCCTCCACAAAGTCTTCCATGCCGACATCATAGTCGAGAACATCATCCAATGAGTCGGGCGTGCGTGCCCGCCGTTCAATCGTCTGCTTGGGCCGGTTCGCCAGCGGTGGTCTCACATTGTTCGAGATCTCCGTCAAAGGTCCAGAAAAGATCGGTGCAGCCTGAAGCGGCTTCTGCAGGAGTGGCTGGTGCTCTCTCGGCACAATACCATCATAGATGAACAGCTCTCCGTCGGATGTCGTGAATGACAGCGAATTATTGCTCGGGTGCCAAGCGAGGTTGATCACATTCGCAAAATCGTACCGCTCCAGAACCTTTTGCGACTTCGTTTCCCAGAGCAGAACCTGGCCATCTTTACCGGCAGTCGCCAGTAGCGCCCCATTAGGCGACCAGCTAATCGCCGTGACCTCCCCGTTATGCCCACCAGAGAACACTTTCTCTTTCTTCCACTCGCCCACCGAGAAGATGGCGATATCCCGAGTCGCTTCCGCAGACGCAAATGCCGTTCCGTCCGGGTGCCACACAATCTGCGAGGTCGCTTCATCCTCCGGTTCCAGCCTTCGGATCACTCCATCCACCTTGCGAACCAGCTCAGGCTCGTCGGAGAGCATTGAATAGATATAGAGCATCCCGTCCGTACATGACACTGTAACGTACCGCCCGCTGGGGTCGAAAGTGACATGTTTTGTTCCCTTGGCCTGTTCCCGGAGATATTTGACCTTTGTCATGTCCTCGATGTTCACAACCTTGACCGTAAGCTCACTAGCAGCAGCGCGCAATTCATTAGCCACATCCCTAATACCTCACGGGTTAAATATAATGGGTATGCTACTAACTCGCTCGCAACAGCCGCCCACTCCCCGTCCTTCGAAACGGCGATATCGCGCACCGGTAGCGCGCATCGAACAAGTAGTTTCTCCATCCGGCCAGACTCGATTTCGTACTGCCAGACGGTACCGTCTTCAGCGCCCATGATGAATGATTCATTCTGTCCCGGGATGTATTAGCATATCAAACGAGTATAAACATCATGAATAAATTGTCAATTGAGCATACAGTAGCTCCAATTCCAAGATGCCCATCAACACCCTCGTCAATTGTCTTCGGCTCTCCATCCTGTCCAACAGTGTAGATTCGGATCGCGGAGTTAGAACCACCCGTTATAACGCGGCGTCCGTCTGGTGTATATGCTAGTACCGTAGTCCCGGGGGTATCTGACAATCACAGAATGTTAGTTAGGAAGCCGAGAAGAAAGGTATAGGGTGATTGTATACTCACGGGCTGGTCGGCCCCGGGGACGCATAGCTTCAGAAGCCATGGTGCGGTGACGAAAAATATAGAGCCTCTGGTGTTATGAGAAAATAGATTAAGTAACTTCAGCGCACCGATCTAGCCCCGATCTGACATTGTATGTGACGCTCGTGGTTGCGATGCGGAGGAGAGTGTCTCTCTCCGTCTCTCCTGCAACGCGCCTCCCGATTTGGGGAACGCGTTCCGCGCGTTGCATCTACTTTTGCCTATTCGGGCGGGAAGAAAGGGCTTAGGGCATTGGGTCAGGGCTGCCAATTATCTATCTGTCTCTTTACTACTACCACTAAATATCCATGGTTTACTTCCCATCATTTAATGATGGCCCATTCGCTGAGAGAAAGTCAAAATCAGCGCCATCCTGTGCCTGGTTCACCGATCGTTCATACAGCGCCCGATATCCTCTTTTCCTCTCTTGGACATGCGATGCTTCCGCCCCGCTAGCTTCGAACGTCTGCTTCCGGACGGCAATTCGCCGGTTCAACTCTTCATCTGAGATCTCAAGCTGAAGCTTTCTCATCGTAATGTCGCAAGTAATTGAGTCTCCTGTCTGTACCACTCCGAAGGGCGACTCCCGCAGCGCTGACTCGGGCGAAATATGAAGAACGATAGTACCCCCGGCTGTTCCTGACATGCGTCCATCGGAAAGCCGCAGCATGTCCTTGACGCCTGCGGAGCCAAGCTTACGTGGGATAGGTATAAGGCCTGCTTCGGGCATTCCGGGGTTGCCCCTGGGCCCGATACCCTTCAGAACCAAGACTGAATCTGGTGTGACCTCGAGGTTGGGGTCATCGATGCGCTTGGCGAGGTCTGCGGAGTTCTCGAAGACGACGGCCGGTCCAGTATGAGAGAGCAGTCGTCGGTCCTTGGATGCGGACGCTTTCATGACTGCTCCGTCGGGCGCGATGTTTCCCCGGAGTACGACTAGTGAGGATGAAGGGTGGAGAGGATCAGATAGTGGTCTGATGATCTGCTGCGAAAGGGGAAATGTTCTGAACGGTGTGGAATCCAAGACCTCGCCCAAAGTTTTGCCGCTTATGGTCATAGCTGAGAGATGAAGAAGTGGGCGGAGGGTATGAAGCAACGCTAGCATTCCACCTGCATTGTGGAAATCGTTCATGTAGTTGTCACCACTTGGCTTTAGATCAATGAGGAGCGGTGTCCGCTGCCCAACTTCCTCTATAGTCTGCAAGGTGATAAGCCCTTGTAACTTGGGGTGTCTGTTTACGATAGCCATTAGATGTACCACAGCATTGGTGGAACCACCGATGGCTTGTAACACTGTGATGGCGTTCAGAAAAGACTCCTTAGAGAGGATATCTTGAGGTCGTCGTTCAGCGCGTGCCACCGCCACTGCATTTGCCCCTGTTTCTTCGGCCACTCGGATTCTCGCCGAGGAGACTGCTGGTGCGGACGCACCACGCAGCGGCATCATACCTAGAGCCGCTGTGACGCATGCCATTGTACTGGCAGTTCCCATAACTCCACAAGTTCCGACCTATTGCAACTACTATCAGCAAAGAAGAAGGTCTTCTATGGCATCATAGGCTAGAATACGTACCGTCGGAGCAAGCTCCTCATTAATAGCCGATATTTCTTCAATATCAATCTCCTCCGCCCGAAAGGCCGCCCAGTTATTCCGGCAATCAGTACAAGCACCGATGCGTTGCCCGCGATGACTTCCCGGCAACATCGGGCCCGTGATAAGTGGAAGGATAGGTTTATTGGCAGAGATGCCCCCCATCAACTGAGCAGGAACAGTCTTATCGCAGCCTATGAAATGTTAGCTGAAGATCAATTTATGAAGCTATTTTCTGAATGTCTACAGGAAATGAGGGAGAGGTTATCATGCCCATACCTCCAATCATAACACATGCATCCAACGGCTGAGCACGAATCATCTCCTCGGTATCCATACTCATCAAGTTCCTCAGAAACATGCTCGTCGGATAGGCAAAGCTCTCCTGGATACTAATCGTTGGGAACTCTATAGCAAGCCCTCCCTGAAGATGCACTCCCCGTTTCACGGCTTCAATCAGTTGAGGAGCATTGGCGTGGCACGGATTGAACCCGGAATAGGTGTTAATGATACCAACTATGGGGCGAGATAGCGCCTCATCAGAGTATCCCAAGGCTTTGATGAATACTTTTCGCAGGAATAAAGAGAAATGCGCATCACCGTAGGATGACAGGCCTTGGCGAAGGCCGGAGGTGGAGTTTATGGGGGTTGAGAGGTCATAGTCGCTTTGAGACGTGGGTTCTGAGGTGCTCTCCATGATTGATGTCTTAAGAGGGCAAAGCAACACAGTGTTTCCTTAGCATTTGAATGTTGTCTGCAATTGAGATGGGGAGTTATGAGGTTATGTGGGGGATGGCGACATTGTGGGTAGAGTTGCCCGGATTCTTTTCCGCAGCATAAGCTCGTAATAACCCCCATAGCCTCTCACCCCACTGGCTTCGTATGACTAGTTGCTAGCTTCATTCGAGAAATTATACGTTCGGTAGAGGTGCTCTTCTACCGAACCTTCGGGCCAAGACGCCGAAGCTATTTTAGTTGATGTGCGAGAGAGCAGTTGCTGTTACTGTGAAAAAAGAAACAGAATATTGTATTAAGCTCTCCAGCCTAAGCATTGATAACCAACCGGCCAGCCCATTTATCCTAGATAATCTATGTACGAAAATAGAATGCAACCAAACTCCGTGTATATGCAAAGTTGCACTATAGACCACACCGCTCCTAAGCACGCTGTGTGATGCGCACCCGGACATCCTTCCGAGGCAGATATGCCGCTCCAGATGGCCGATGTTCAGGAACGGTAAAGCCTCCCTCCTGGGCTGGCTTGACATCCCACATGGTGATGATTGCCGCGGCAAACGCGAGGAGCTTCCTCTCTGCAAAGGCGCGGCCCTTACACCCAGATACTCCGCCACCAAAGGGTTTGATGGTGTGTACGTTTGCTTTCCTCTGTCCAGTTTCGGAGTCGGTCGAGATGAACCTCATCGGGTCAAAATCACGAGGATTCGCGAAGTATTTGGGGTCTGTATGGAGAACAGCGTGCGGAATAGCCACGGTATCGCCTCTCTTAAGTTCATATGACCGAGGCTGCGCTACGCCAGCGATAGCAGCATCTTCAGCGGACTCCGTGATGGTTAAGTCAGCGGTCACTCCCCGAAACGACAGAGGCGCTGAATGCAAGCGCAATGTCTCATAGAAGCTTGCCTTCAACAACGGACACGACTTAACTAGCGCTTCTGTATCAATTGACAGCTTGGGGGCTTCTTGGAAAGCGAAGCCGCTTTCCTGCCGAACAATCTTCACATAAGGAGCGACCTCCTTGCGGATCTCTTCCAGGAGCGTAGGGCTGGCATACATCCGAAGAAGGTGCCAAAAGACAACATTCGGGGAGTTTCCATTCATCGCCCAGAGTAAGGATAGATGTGCAGGTGCACTAGACCTTGCAGAAAGTCCCAGCTCTTTGCATTTGCGGATTCGCTCCTTTATAGGTTCCGAGATGTCGTCGAGATCTCGAAAGGTAAGTCCGGGATCAATCCCATCATCCCATGAAACGAAGGCCTGGTGATACGCTGTAAGAGAATCGAGGAGCCGTCTACGGGCAACATGCGCTGCGGAAACCCCAGGGTGGGCCAACCGAGGGATGCCCATGGATAGGAGCACAAACTGGTTGTCCAGCGTAAATACATCCTCCAGCAGGGCAGGGAAAGCCTCAAGAATGGCCTCACCCATAAAAATTGCCGTAGTGACGTGTCCAACGAACCTTCTAATGAGGGCGAAAAAATTCACCTCGCAGGCAAGCGAGTCTTCCCCGTCAACGACGATAGCCTGGCTTCCGCGCTCCCACAGCATCTGGTCCACGATGCTTCGACAGTTAGTCACCAAGTTAGGGATCTCCCGTTCAATCAGGCGGGTAGCGTTTCTGGTGCCTTCCGTCAAAAAAGGCTCCCGCATGAGAAGGTTGGGGATATTGTGGTTGAGCGTATGATGGTCAACAGGATTCAGATTACGAATCACACCCCGGTCACCGAAGATCTTCTCGAGGGCATAATTGATCAAGTCCGTCGAGGAGGTACCTCGAGCAGTCAATACCGAGTTGACCATGGATGGGGACACGACAATATCGTGTTTGGTGCCACCCATGTAGATTCCAAACACGGCCTCCTTCATGGACTTTCTGTAAGATTGGTAAGAAATTGCAGCTCCTGCCGGCTAGTTTTGGAGACAAACCTGGACTTTTGAAGGAGATCGACATGGTCCCAGGCAAAGGCCGGGCCATGGCCCAACCAGGGCAGCCAATATGGCACCGTCCTTACGGGACGCGGACGACCCTCGGAGATCCCACGGGGACGACTCTGGAATTCGGTGATGAGACGAGTCACCACGCAGATGGAGACCAGTATAGCCACTATGGCTGGCCATCCGATAGACTTGAGAACATCGCCGACGAATCGTACAAGATTTCCTGGCGCTAACAAGTCATATTGTTCCATGGTAATATGAACGAGGAAGAACCGTCCCGAAGACGGGGGCAGAATTGGGGAAAAGAAGGACGGGGGATTGCGATCACAGATGAGATGACATGGATAACCAAAGAAACACAGGAAGCACAATTTACACTGTTGATGAAGCAACGATTCTCATTCAAAAGGGGAAGAATAAAGTAAAGAAAGATTTGTGCAACGACTGAAGCATAAATAGAAATGAGAGTTTGATGCTTGCTTTGAGATGATGGCCAACTGAGTTATTCTGTTAACGTTAATTACCGTAACGGGCTGCTGTGACGCTTAGCTCAGCCACACCTGATCTCTTCCTGATTTGCGTGGCTTGCGGCTAAAGTCGTTCCCGGTTGGTCTCACCTTCGTCTCGTTTACTCTCTGTACTATTTATGGCTCATCATTCATTCAGTGAAACAAACTAACTATTAGTATTATCAATGTTACCAAAATATACATCTTTCCTCGTGGTCAATGCTCGCGGCGCAACACCTTCTGTAGGATGGCACTCTCGTGCTCATACTGGCTGATCTTGTTCTGCGAACTTGCCACCTTCTGCAGGAGCCACTGAATCCGTGCGCTGAGCTCCCGGGGCTGCTTGGGGAGAGATCCCAATACCTGCAGCTCCTGCTCATATTTCCCAATGCTCTTGTTTTCACTGCTCAGCAGCTGCTTGACAATGTCCAGATCCAGCCGGCTACTCAGGGTCTTGTTCTCCGTTAACCGCTTGAACACCGCCCGATAGACGGGCTTGCCAGGCTTCACTGCGTCAGGACATCCGTTGACGGAACTGATTGCGATAAGCTCGGCTTGCTCAAGGGCTCGGAGGGTGGTCTCGCCGTTCTCCTTGAATAGATCGGAGAGAAGAACTTGATTGTACGGCAAAGTGCCATCCTGGGAGTGGGCTAGCGTCTTAATCAAATGCCAGGCCTGTTCGTGGCTCCACTGCTTGGATTCAATGTCAGGGTCAAAGACAAACATCTTCAAGATCTCGGATGCCGATTGTTCGATGATGCGATTGACTGCCGCTGTTTTATTTTTAGCCATACGCGCCATTGATCAGCCAAGGTGGATCCAACTTACCTCGGGGCGTTTCTCCAGACTCGATGCGCCGTGCCATGAACTCAAGGTCGGTCACTCGGCCTCCCAGCACTTCTATGCAGCTATCCAAGGTACCCAAGTCTCCTACCTCTTCCATGTTCTGGCCTGAATTGGCTCCATCCTTCGCCCCATGCTCAAGATGGCTGAGTACAAACTTTCTGCCCACGTCGAGCGAGCAGTCGCCCAGGGAAATGGTCCGGAACACTGAGTTTGGCAAGGCTTTGCTCAAAGGTTTGGAGAAGGAAACGTCAGTAGTCAAGAACACTACATGAGCGATATTTCCGGTCGTGAGGCCTGCGGCCCACTCGGTGATCTTGTCGTACACCACGCTGCTCTCGGTGGCATTGTGCAGGAAGTTGTCGATGACTACGACGGGACGCTGTTCGGGGTGAGCTTCTAAGTACTCTTCGTCTGAGAGATGTGCCTCCTTGTCATCTTTCTTCCGATTGGACAGTGCAACCCTCTTCAGGGCAGTGGCGGTATTCTGCCAAATCTTGCTGAGCTGCGCATCCAGAGTTTCAGAGAAGCCGGCCTTTGTGCCAATCATGCCCTGCGCAGCTAGGTCGATAAAGCTGCTCATGCTGTTCATCCATGAGAACACAGGCCGATAACCGACCTGGCTTGCAGCACGGGCTATCTTTGCAGTATCGCCCTTGGCATCTTGAATCTGTTTACAATCGATGACGACCTTGTATTTGTAGTTTTCAAGGGCTCGGTCCAACACAAGCTCTCTCTTTCCCGTGCCTCGAGGGCCGTGGATGACGATGAACGTCTCGGCATTCTCCATCAGCCAGGACTGCAACTGCTTAATATCTCCCTGGCGATCCTCCCATATCGCAGTGAGACGGCGAGGGTCTGTCCTCTGGCGCCCGAAATAGATGATGTTGGCCTTGTTGGCCTGATTCCGGATCCATTGAAGGACACTGTTCTCCTCGGTTTGCAGAGTGGCCTTGATCTTCATTTCGATGAAGAAGGTGCGGATAGGGTCGAAGATGGTCACAGTGATGGCCGCAATGAGTGCAGCAATTGCAGGGATCACTATTCTCGGATGGTTCAGGATCCAGTCCTTGATGACGGAAAACTTGATCTTCCGCTCGTACTTGATTTTGATTCTCGTGCCGGACTTGCCGCCGCCTTCTTCCTCCGGGATAGTGAATCCGTGCATGCAGTTCTTGGCCATGACCGCGTACTTTTGCCGCGTGAACGACACAAAAGCATATCTTGGAGCGATCTTCGAATCGGTAGGTTGTCTCTCAATGTCCCTTAACTTTCCATATCTCCTGAAGAAAGAATACAACGTTTCCGTGGTCAGTTCCGTTGCGGCTCCATCAACGGAGCCTGGCAGGAACTCCACGCGCAGCCGCTGGCTTGGAATGCGATATAGATCCTCGATCCACGGTCTGCCATGCACATGGGCAACTTTGACCTGCTGGAACGGGTTGAACCAGGGCCGGATAGGATTGTGCTCCAGATGGTGTTGCACAGCGGTTACAATATCATTGTCCCGGACACCATCTTTGCGAACATATTTCACAAAAGCGCCGCCTTCTCTGAAGCGCGGAATGACTTCCCGGATGTCGACGTTCAGACTCTGAGGGAATACGCGACGGATTATATGCAACGGATCCGACGCCGCCAGATGGGGCCTGTTGATTCGTTTCAACGCCTCTTCGTAAGTTTTGTTCCCGCTCAGCGGTCCTTGTAGCAACCATTGTAACTTCGACGGAAAGATATCTATTCCCAACATGGATTGTTAGCAAGGCCTATAAATTTTCAAGAGTCCAGGCTCGTACTATTCACAAATACAAGACCCTCGTCGTCTTTCACGTCAATGTGCCCAGTCTCGATGAAAGAGGCATGTGACGAAGTACGGCGACTGACGATGAACGCCTTTGTCAAGGAAGGAACCGCAGGTGGTCTACTGAAACGTGCATGGAGTAGAGTTGCGCGGGGCACCACCGCTCGATAGGGAATTCGCATCATCTCTGTAGGCCTCGCAGCATTGTGCAGGAAGCTAGAAGAGTTCCTGAAGAACAAGAGACGCTGTTCCTGGAGTTCTCCAACTATGACGTCGACTGGATGATCTGGATCAATACATACTGTGACGGGTATTTCATCCTAGTTGGTGCGGAGAAGCTCCGCATTACCGTCACGTCGCGTTCGGGTGAAATTTAGGATTCGATCCGCTTTGAATCCATTCAACTGAATTCCGCCGTCTCTTCTTGTTCCCATCCAAACCTCCACCGGAGACCCCCATCCTATCCCCCATTGAAACCAGTCACTGCCATGGGTTGGTGGTGGAGCTCCGCCCCTAAAGAGGGCCAGTCTTCTGCGCCTGCTGCCTCCAGTCCTCCTGCCTCACAACCCCCTCCAGAGACCACCTCCGCACCTTCACAACCACCGCAACCCCGGACTCTCACCCGCGAGGAGCAGGCTGACGCAGAATGGAAGAAGTTGATCGCCAGTCTGGAGAGCGACATCAGTGGTCAAAAGCAGCAGCAGCAGCAGCAGACACAATCCGCTGGTAATTCCACATCATCCGACTCCACATCATCACCATCCTCCACCGATCCTCAAGCACCTCCCTCGTCCATTGCTCCCGAATCCCTCTACGATGATACCATGTCTTGTCGCTCCGCATTCGACTACGCATTCTTCTGTCAGTCCTTTGGAGGCCAGTTTGTCAACGTCTACCGCTATGGTGAGCTGCGGTCTTGCAGCGAACACTGGGACAACTTCTGGATGTGCATGAAGACCCGCACGTTACCGGATCAGCAGCGCCGGAAGGCAATCCGCGATCACAACCGGAAGAAGGCCATCAAGTACAAGACAGGGCCCAGCAGCGAGGACGTGTGGGACGTGCGGACAGAGCCGGTGCAAAATGCGTTCTCCGGGGATTTCGCGGCCCTGGAACGGGAAATGCAGGCAGAGGAAGAAGAAGCAGCGCGGCAGAAAGCTGCTACAGCCTAAAAAAGAAGCCAACCAATCATGACCCCATCCATTTTTTCTCGTCTTTGTGTCAGATCTTTCACACATACCAAGGGATCTCCCAATTTTTTTCATGTTTCGATACCATGTAGATGGATACCTCTCCCCGAACTCGTGGGGCACGTTGTACAATAGCATTAGCAGAAATCAATCACCTATCATCATCTGAGCATATCAATTGTCTCAGCCACCAACCTCAGGACAAAGGAAATCTCCGTCTCCAACACACACAATAAAGCGACTTGCTTCCGACGGACAATCCCGATGTGTCTTTATTCATCCTGACTTGTCCTGTTCTGCGCAGCTCCTATATATAGACCTCACATAGCAACACCCTTGTCAACCATTAGCAACCACCCACAGCCAAACATTGGGCCACTCAGCACCATGGCTACGATATGAACTTCTTCAGGAACAATAAACACCTGATATGATGCGTCCTTTTGGATCTTTCACCAACCCTCTTCGCATCAAGCAGAGACTGAAATTACCATTAACCGCCACATATCGCATGCGCACGCTCTTCCATCGCATTTCCGCCATGCTAAGTACTACTACCAATTATACAGAAGACTCAGATTCTGGATCGACTACTATCAAGGCTAATAGCCTCAAGAACTACCCTACCGTGGACATGAATATAACCACGAATATGAAGGCGCTGGATACTATGGAAGGACTTGCCCACCCAGATCAACATCACCAGCTTCCTCACAGACCACCAACACCACCACCACCACCACCAGCATCAACATCAACATCAACATCAACATCAATACCAACACCACCAGCCCCAACAACCACCCAACCCCCATTTCCATTCCCATCCCCATCCCCCTTCACCCCTCACCACCCTCAATACCAACAACAACAACAACAACCACCCCTATACCACTTCCATCCCCCCAAATCCGTGACATGGGGTCCCATCACCGAAATCCCCATCTACTCCCCATCCCCATCTCCCTCCCCAACCACCTCAACCCAATCCTCCCCCTCCCCCTCCTGGATCGACCTCAGCAGCACAACCTCCTCCACAGCCGCCTTGGCCTCCTCCTCCACCTTCTCCCCAACCATCCCCAATACCAGTCCACCAACAGCCCACCCCATCATCCATCACCCCCTCCGACCCATCCGCAAACCCCCGACTCAACTCGACAACGAAATGTTCCACCGCAACCTCTACCACATGGCGCAGATCAGCACGCTCCGGTTGAGCATCGTCTATGACGCGCTGAGTTTCCTGGGCGGGGACTTCCTGGATCAGGTTCTCCTCATGGAGGAGGGGTATCTGATGCAGGTGGCGGTGATGCATGCGAGGCAGGCGCAGCAGAGGGATTTTGCAAGGTTTTCTGTTGCTGCTGGTGGGGGTGGGGGTTCTGTCAGGGGTCATGGTGGTGATTATAATAATGGTGGGTTTGGGGTGGTTATTCCTCGTCGGCCGAGTCCGGTGAAAGGGGGTCGGGTGGAGAAGAGGAAGATGAGGAAGATGATGAAACGGAGGAAGGCGTCCGATGTCATGGGGGCGGATTTCTGGGAGCAGGTTAATGAGAGGGAGGAGGGGTATGAGATTGATGAGGATGAGGATATGGATAGAGATTCGGTGTAGATCTGTCCATCCTATTCTATTCTGTTCTTGTCTTATACTGGTTGGGCTGGTGTTAGAAGGTTGTGTATATACCACGCAACTAGCATGCGTGAAGTATATAGGATTCTGGCGTATGCACCTACTCTGCGGAGTCATACATACTTTTAGATGGTAGTTCGGGTTTTTACTAATGCTTCCTAGTTTACTGGAAGTTGAAATAAATGGACTGAATCATGGAATTGATATGGTCATGAAGAGAATATGTACATCAAAATGTGTTGGATGGAAATAACAAACGCTCCGACACCTCGCACCTCTTTTGAGAAGGAACAGAACGCTGCAAATCATCCTTCAAAAACAGAAAACCAAATCAAATATAATAATTTGACCAGACAGTATTCCCCCTTTTTAAAACTCCCATTCGGGACCATGGAGACAGACGCAACGTATCGTAGTTGAGATCAAAGTAAATGCCGTGACAGATATAAGCCACCCAACATTGCCTGGCCGAATCAAAACACTTTCGTAGATTCGTTGCTATCATGACGGAGGTTTTGTGCGGTCAACGCTAAAACCTGTCTAGCGGATTTAGCAGCAAGGCGCAAACCCTAATGGATTTACGCAGATACTGTCTGCTGAGCAGCCTGGGGAACGGCATCGATAGCGGGCCGGCGCACAATGCCACCAGTGACGGGGAGCTGGGAGCTGATGCCCATCAAGAAGGTGTCTACTTCACGGGCGCATTGACGACCTTCATTGATACCCCATACGATGAGAGACTGGCCACGGCGGCAGTCACCAGCAGCGTAGACGCCGGGAACGCTAGTGGAGTAATGTCCTGGCGGCGTCTTGACGTTCTTACGAGCATCGCGCTCGATTTCCTCGCCGAGGACTCGGTCCTCCGGTCCAAGGAAGCCCATGGAGAGAAGAACAAGGTCCGCGGGGAAGAATTGCTCACTGCCCTCAACGGTCTTCATGTCCCAGCCACCAGAAGCGCTCTTGGTCCACTCAACACGAACCGTGTTGATACCCTTGACACGGCCATTGCCGTCGTCAACGAACTCCTTAGACATGACACAGTACTCACGAGGGTCTTTGCCCATGTGTGTCTTGACCTCGGAGTGTCCGTAGTCAACACGATAGATACGGGGCCACTGAGGCCACGGGTTGTCGCGGGCACGCTCCGGCGGAGGCTGAGGCAGCAACTCGAAGTTGGTGACTGACTTAGCACCGTGACGAACAGATGTACCAATACAGTCATTACCAGTATCACCACCACCAATAACCACAACGTGCTTGTCCTTGGCGGAGATGTACGCCCCGTCGGCAAGGTTGGAGTCCAGCAAAGACTTGGTGTTACGGTGCAGGAATTGCATGGCAAAGTGAACACCATCAAGCTCACGTCCAGGAACCTTCAGGTCACGGGCCACAGTGGCACCAGTAGCAATGATAACAGCGTCGTTGGTCTGGCGCAGAGAGTCTAGGGTAATCTCATGCTCAGGGCCAACGGGGGTACCAGGAGCGAACTTGACACCCTCAGCAGCCATCAGGTCAACACGACGCTGCACAACCTTCTTGTCCAGCTTCATGTTGGGAATACCGTACATCAGAAGACCACCGATACGGTCAGCACGCTCGTAGACAGTAACGGTGTGTCCAGCCCGGTTAAGTTGGTCGGCAGCAGCGAGACCTGCGGGACCAGAGCCGATGATAGCAACATTCCTGCCCGTGCGAGTCTTAGGAGGGCGAGGAACCATCCAGCCCATCTCGAAACCACGGTCAATGATGGCACATTCGATAGACTTGATACCCACGGGGTCTTCGTTAATGCCAAGGACACAAGCACCTTCGCAAGGAGCAGGGCAAACGCGGCCAGTGAACTCGGGGAAGTTGTTCGTCATGAGTAGCCGGTTGAGAGCATCCTGCCACTGGTTCTGGAACACCAGCTCATTCCACTTGGGGATGATGTTGGAGATCGGGCAGCCAGTGTCAGATTGACAGAAAGGCACACCACAGTCCATGCAGCGAGCGGACTGGTACTTGAGTTCATCCTCGCTCAGACGGTTGGAAAGCTCAGCCCAGTCACGCGTACGCGTAGCCGGGTTGCGGTATTTCTCACTGCGCCGGTTGTACTTCATGAAACCCCTAGTCTTGTCCAAAATGAGGGCTGAGCGTTTCTTCTCGGTCTTAGAGTCGCTGATGCTATCTTCAATATCCAGCATCTCAACCTTCTTGGCATCTTCGGACTGAGCCTTGGGCTTCTCTGCAGGGACTGGAGTGCTAGGAAGCTGAGGCAAAGAGAACTCCGCCTTCTTGGCGGCTTCAGCCTTGGCAGCTTCCTCCTGTAGGATGCGCTTGTAATCTGTGGGCAGCACCTTGACGAAGTGAGGAAGGGCACGAGTGAAGTCCAACAGGATACGGGCGGCAAGCTCCGATCCGGTGTAGTGATGGTGATCCTCGATCAAGCCACGAACGAAGGCGATCTCTGCGGGATCTTCCAGGCCGGACACCTCAACCATCTCCATGTTGATCTTGGAGTGGAAGTCCTGCTTCATATCGAGGATGTAGGCGATACCACCAGACATACCAGCAGCAAAGTTACGACCAGTCGAGCCAAGAACAAGGACGCGACCACCAGTCATGTACTCACAACCGTGGTCACCAACACCCTCAACGACTGCGGTGGCACCGGAGTTACGGACAGCGAAACGCTCAGCAGCCATACCGCGGAAGAAGCACGTACCGCGAGTGGCACCGTAAAGGCAGGTGTTACCAACAATAACGTTCTCTTCGGCCTTGAATGCAGCACCACGAGGGGGGTAGATGATAAGGCGACCACCCGAGAGACCCTTACCAACGTAGTCATTGGCATCACCTTCGAGCTCGAGAGTGATACCAGGAGCAAGGTAAGCGCCGAATGACTGACCAGCGGAGCCCTTGATGTTGGCGTGGATGGTGTCCTGAGGAAGGCCTTCGCCACCATAACGGCGACTGACCTGGTAAGACAAGGTAGCACCCAACCCACGGTCAGTGTTGACAATATCACACTCGATTCTGCAAGGGAGGCCCTTCTCCAAGGCGAGCTCAGACTCGGCGATCAGCTTGTTATCGAGGCGAGTGTGCAAACGGTGGTCCTGCTTGCGGACGTTGTAGGTAGCGACGCCAGGGCGCAGGGAGTGGGCAGGGGTAAGAATGAGCGACAAGTCAATCTTCTCCTGCTTGGCATTCCGGATATCATCACGAACCCTGAGAAGTTCGGCACGTCCAACCATCTCATTCACGGTGCGAACGCCTAGCTTGGCCATGATAGCACGCATCTCGTTGGCGACATAGTAGAAGAAGTTGATCACGTGCTCGGGCGTACCCTGGAACTTGGCTCGAAGCGCCGGGTCCTGAGTTGCGATACCGACAGGGCAGGTGTTGAGATGGCACTAGGTGTGAAAGTTAAGTGTTAGCACGAGTCCATGCGAAAATACCATATTCATCTTACCTTGCGCATCATGATGCAACCCATGGCGATCAGAGGGGTTGTAGCAAACCCGAACTCTTCGGCTCCGAGCAAACAAGCGACCGCAAGATCGCGACCAGTACGAAGTTGGCCATCAGTTTGCACAACAACACGTCCACGCAGGTCATTGAGAACCAAAGTCTGGTGGGTTTCGGCCAGACCCAACTCCCAAGGAAGACCGGCATACTTGATACCGGTCCAACGAGAGGCACCAGTACCACCATCGTGACCGGAGATCAGGATGTGATCAGCCTTGGCCTTAGCGACACCGGACGCAACGATACCAACACCAACCTCCGACACAAGCTTAACAGAGACACGTGCGCGAGGGTTGGAGCACTTAAGGTCGTAGATGAGTTGCTTCAGATCCTCGATAGAGTAGATATCGTGGTGGGGTGGCGGCGAAATGAGACCCACACCAGGAGTAGAGTAACGGGTGTGCGCAATGGGGCCGACAACCTTGTGGCCAGGAAGCTCACCACCTTCTCCAGGCTTAGCACCCTGTGCCATCTTGATCTGCAGTTCATCGGCATCGGCAAGGTAGTGAGATGTCACACCAAATCGACCAGAGGCAATCTGCTTGATGGCAGAGCGCATCGTATCGCCATTTTCCAGCAACTTGCTCCGCTCGGGATCCTCACCACCTTCACCGGTGTTCGACTTTCCGCCAAGGCGGTTCATTGCAATGGCAAGGGTGGAGTGAGACTCCATGGAGATAGAACCGTACGACATAGCGCCCGTAACGAATCGACGAACAATTTCGGTCCAGGGCTCGACCTGGTCAATAGGGATAGGTGTGCGTTGCTCGAAATCGAAGTCAAGCATACCACGGAGGGTACAGTTCTTGATCTGCTCGTGCTCAGCCTTGGCATACGCTTCATAGGACTTGTCGTTCTTCGTGCGCACGGCATCCTGCATGTTTGCGATGCTAACAGGGTCATTGATATGCTCCTCGCCACCGTCACGCCAGTGGTATTCACCAGATTCTGGGAGACCGGGGATGTCAACAATCTCGCGAGAGGGGTATCCACGCTCGTGGAAGGCAAACGCGTCTTGGGCAATCAGTTCAAAGGTCAGACCGCGGATACGGCTTGCAGTTCCAGCAAAGCAACGGTCAATAACACTGTCATCGATACCAAGGGCTTCGAAGATCTGAGCACCCTTGTACGACTGCAGGGTAGAAATACCCATCTTGCTCATGACCTTGAGGATACCGCCATCGCAGGAAGCCTTGTAGTTCTCGATGACCTTCTCATCGGGGAGCTGCTTGCGGATCAGCTTCTCCCGGTTCATCTTCAAGATACATTCCATAGCGAGGTAGGGGTTGATGGCGTCAGCTCCGTAACCGACGAGGACACACATGTGGTGCACTTCACGAGCCTCGGCGGTTTCCACAACGATGGCAGCAAGAGATCTCCACTTGTTGCGGACCAGATGATGATGAACAAGACCAGTTGCAAGAAGGGCAGACACCGGAACTCTGTTCGCACCAGTGGCGCGGTCTGAGAGCACGAGGATCTTGTCACCGTTCTGAATAGCCTCAGTTGTGGCATCGCAGATGGCATCGAGGGCCTCCAAATATCCCGGAACACCCTTCTCCTTTTCGAAGGTGATATCAATGGTCCTTACAGTCCAGTCCTTGTGGGCCTGAGAAATGTTCTTCAGGGCGTTGAACTCGGGGATGCTGAGGATAGGGGAAGGAAGCAACAACCGGTGGCACTGCGACTGTTCCATCTCCAGAAGGTTACCCTGAGGACCAACGTAGCACTCCAAGGACATAACAACAGCCTCTCGAATAGGATCGATAGGGGGGTTGGTGACTTGGGCGAAGAGTTGGCGGAAATATTCGTAGATAAGACGGGGCTGCTTAGCGATGCAAGCCAAGGGAGCGTCGTTACCCATAGATCCCAGAGCTTCTTTAGAGTCTGCAGCCATGGGTCCCAGGAGTAGACTGACCTGCTCGAAAGAATAGCCGAAGGCCTTCAAACGAGGATCGTTCTGAATGGTCGTCTCGTCCAAGGCATGTGTCAAGTCCACGCGTTGTTCGTCGAGGCTCTCTTTGATGGCGGGCAACTTGAGGAGCTCCTTATCCAGCCACGAAGCAAAGTCATGTCTGTGGGATACAGTGTATTTAAGCTCAGAGTCATCGATGATGCGTCCAGCCACAGTGTCGACCAGGAGCATCTTTCCAGGCTGCAGACGACCTTTCTGAACCACGCGCTCAGGGTCAATGTCTACAGCACCAACCTCCGAGGCACAAACGATGCGGTCATCATCTGTCACGTAGAATCTGCAAGGACGCAAACCGTTACGGTCGAGGTTTGCACCGCAGTAGCGACCGTCGGAGAAGGTAAAGAGAGCCGGGCCGTCCCACGGCTCCATCTGGCAAGCCGCCCATTCGTAAAAAGAAGCCTTAGCCGGATCCATAGCCGGGTTATCTTGCCAGGCTTCCGGGATCATAAGCATGACTGCTTCAGGCAATGAAAGCACGCCGTTGATCATCAACAACTCAAGGACGTTATCGAACGCAGCCGAGTCGGAACCACCGTCCTCAACAATGGGGTACAGGGAATCCAGCTCCTCGCCAAAAATGTCCGACTTCAGCACACCTTCTCTGGCGCGCATCCAGTTCTTGTTGCCACGAAGGGTGTTGATTTCACCATTGTGAGCGGCCCAACGCAAGGGCTGTGCACGGTCCCAAGAAGGGAATGTGTTGGTAGAGAAACGGGAGTGGACGAGAGCAAAGTGACCTTCGTAGTCAACGTTTACCAAATCATGATAGTACTGGTATACCTGGACGGGGGCCAATTGACCCTTGTAGACAATATTTCTGTTGCTCAGGGAGCAGAGATAGAACCAATTGGCGAGACCGATGACGTGAGTAGCCCGCTTTCGCAGGACATACAATTGACGTTCGAATGTCTTGACATCAAAGAGCTCTGGGTCGGTAAGCTCTGGCTTGTTTCCTTCGCCATAAGCCGACTTCAGCACGACGAACGGCTGCATGATGGTAGGCTCCCGGGAAAGAGCGGCGGGACCCAGAATGGTCGAGTCGCGGGGGACCTCACGCCAGCCCAACACTCGTAGTCCCAAAGATGTGGCAATTTCCTCGAAGCTCTGTACGGACTCCTTTACGGACTCTTCCTCAGGCTTGAAAAAAAGGTTGCCGACAGCATACTGACCGAGGGGAGGGAGATCAACTCCAACCTCACGGGCAAAGTTCTTAATGAAGAATTTATGGGGGATACTGGTCATCACACCAGCACCATCACCATCGCGTGCATCCGAGCCAACGGCACCACGATGGGTCATGTTGCAAAGCAAATTGCGAGCTACAGAAGTCAGTCAGTATGCTCCCGAAACCACCACAAATCGGATTGCAAATGCTTACCATCACTGACAATCTTGTGGCTAGGCTTGCCCTTAATGTGACTAGAAATTGAGACAGTAGCTGTTAGCCCGTCGTTCCATGAACCCCAGGGCGCAATCAAGAGATCGCTTTTGCGGGGGGAGTGTTCCCGGCTGAGCACTTACGCTGCAAAGCCTACACCACAAGCATCCTTCTCGTATTCGGGGTCATAAAGACCTTGCCTCTCGGGCAGGGTGTTTGCCCAGCCATAACCCTTCTTTGGCTGGTACTCCGAATACTCATTCGGAGTCTGCTCTTCCACTATAGGTTTGCCATAGAGTTCCTCCAAGTTCAGACCCATTCTTCCGCCGGTGGCCGACAGAAAATGGAGTAGCAAATCTAGGGAAATTGGTGTGGTTGTTGTTTGGGGGGGAAGGGAATCGCCGCGGAACAAGTCGGGGCGGGGGAGGGGGCAATTCGTTCTGTTATAGATAAGAACGATGTCGTCACAAAGACCGGAGGGGTGGGTGTACAATGACGCGGGCAAGGAAGGGGCAAAATCCAGAAACTTTTAATGGTGATGGCCCAGCGTCTGACTCCTGGTGGAATGATAATGGGAGAAAGAAGAGAGAGAGAGAGAAGAAGGAGAGAAGCGACCAGGGAGAGGGGGAGGGAGGGAGGGGAATAATAAAATGGGCAAGACAGAGAGAGAGGGAGAGCGGGAGCTCCTACTACGGGGGGGTGCGGTCCGGGGATTTCACCTCGAGACTCCTCCGATACTCCGTACCAGACCAGTATGTAAAATTGGGGTTACCCCCCCTTCCCTTCTCGGTCTCTGGGCGGATGAAGGCACCTCCAGTAGTAGTAAGTACTACTTACTACTACTAGGCTCAGGTCGGGTGAGTCCACCGCAAGATCCAATTTACTTTAAAAACGCCAAATGGTACGGGAACCGAAAAATACCGAGGTGGGGATGATCAAGCGATTTCCGTGGCAAATCGTAGCTTACCTAGCTGGAGGAGCGAAGACGGAGTGCCAAAAAGGAAAGACAATATTAGTAGGTAGTCTAAAGCCAGGCAGGTGTAAGCAGTCAGACGGTGGTTGACGGGCGCAGGGAAAAAGGAACTAATGCGGGCTGGCAGATGGCAATGAATTCTAGCGCCTACTACGGAGTAGACTACGGAGGGTACTGTAAGGGGGGTGGGAAGATGGCGCATTGAATGATACAATCAATCCCATCATTCATTCATTCATTCATTCATTCATTCTGTTGCCCTCACTCTGCATAACAGTCACCAGAATATCCCGTGTATGATGTAGTTCCATGCGCATACACGCTGGTGATCTACAAAGGTAGGTTTGTTATTGCTTCTGTCATCATGGTGCAGAAGGCAAAAAAAAATAAAATAAAATAAAATAAGAAAGATGAGTGGTGTAAGAGTGAGTGGCTTACGTCGACTATTTGTGGATTGGATTGTTGTCGGGCTTGTAGTTAGTTTGGCAGCAGGGTTTCTGACTTGTCTCAGAGTAGAAAGCGTTTCCATCCGCTCATTGTATTGAAAGGGAGGGAGGGTGGAATGGAGAGAGAAAAGAGAGATTGGCCATCTTTCCCAATTCCCAGAGAGGCCGGACTGTACTTCACCTCCAGCCGGGGATTTGTTCTAGAGAAGGAGATAAGACTAGCGCCGACCAATCAACATGATGGTTTTACAACCTTCCGCAGAAAGATTAGGTTTTGGCTACGTCAAGATCCAGGCCGGTGGGGCCCGGGCCAAAAAGAAGAAAAAGGGAAACAGAAAAAGGTTGTCCGCTGACGGCGCTAGTGGGAGTCTACTGGGTACTTTGTTCCGTATCGTGCCGTAATGCTGGTTCCCTTCGTTCACTCAATACGAGAATCAACGAGTTGTGGTATTCAATCACATTACGGGACGCAACATTGTAGTAGTAGTAAGTAGTTTCCAAGGAGTTTCCATTGTATTAATGCACTGCCTCCAAGTGGGCTTGAAATGTTTCTCCCATCACGCAAAGCTCCATTCAAGTCTGCCGCACAACTCTTAATTACAAATTGACCCATCGGGTGAGAGAACTGGCCGGCCATCCACCAAGAGGGTTGGCTGGCATACCCAGTCAGAAGAGGACCCAGAGTGCTGTTGGAGAGGTTGGATCAACCGTAACATGATCGTCCTGGTGGTGATACCTACGTCGGTCCACAAATAGAAGGATTAGATGACTCTGGGTGGCCTGTTCCACTTCAGTCTCATGGGATCATAAGTCACCATCCTGTGGACCAATGCACGAAACCCATCAATGCGACAAACAAATCAGTACCGATTCCTTATTGTCTTATTTCTTGAGCGCTAATATGTATATGTTCGCATGATCTTTGCTGATCGTGACGGCCATGATGTCAACTTAACTCAATCCTATTCATCAGTTGTTCGCAAGTCTTCGTTCATATGAGCCACAGTGTGCCTTGAGTGCTGCAAGCACTGCTGGCTAAAAGAATACTTGCAATATGCTAGTGGGAGTGTATACAACTAATAGGTTGAAAGTACCGAGTAGTAGCCCCATAGACACGCCAAGCGTTCCGTACCTACTAAATATTTGGAGCATCACATATACAAGAGAGCCCATCTCCGTGCCCGTGTGCCAGACATGGCTAGGATGGGCAAACAAACGTGACACCGGGCTACACGATTCGCAGTCTCTCCTTCTTCCTCCAACTGTTCGACGAGAGCAGAAGGGAGAGGGCCCAGTTGGATAACATAATTGGGCGTTGTAGGGGTGGGGCGACGCAGGGATACAGTGCTTATCCCCGATTCTGTCCCAATCAGTTGGTCGGCCTGTGCTGAAAGTGCGTTGCTGCACATGGTAAGTCATCCCCAAGTGGCCTGGTAAACCCGGGAAAGAGGACAATTCCGGCGGGAGGGCGAAAAAAAATAATAATGAATTACTGAAGAAGCAATCCTATTTCTTACTCCAAAATTGCTTGGCAGGCACTGGGCGTTACATTAGAACAGTAAGGAGATCAAGTCTCCAAGTCGATTATTTCTATGTATAACATAAAACTCCAGATCGTCCTGGGAGTTGAACTCTTGTAGTCATAGTAATTGGGATGTAGTCATAGGAATTGAAGAAGTGGGTGGCCCCTACGGTGTGTGTCAGTATACCCTTATTAAGTACACGGCCCGCAAGTGAGCCCTGCCTACATCGTATACCACAAGGAATACGGAGTGGTAAGGTGCATTAATAGGTTGCTGACTCGCTTCCCCGAGAAAATTAGGCAGTAGATTGCATGGTGCATAAATCTGCCGCCTAAACATCTTTGGGAAGTTGATCAATCGGAAATAGTAAAAAGAAAAAAGAAAAAAGAAAAAAGAGAAAGAGAAAAAGGGACAGGGCAAAACAATCTGCACACGCGGCCTGCAACTTGCAAGAGGACTGCAACCGAAGGACTTTTGACCCAGGCGCTAAGCGATGCATTGGGCAATAGATGATCTCGTCCGTGGGCTACTCTCTAGACCGAGGAGGGCCCTAACAGAAAGACAC